AGTCAGGGGATGTTGTTCCTATGCGCTATGTATTCCAAACCCCTATACTACGCTAGTCTAGCCCCCTGAACCATCCCGAAACCAATCCCTCTGCTCCACCCTGCGAGGGCTAAACTGAAGTCCCACATCGAAATCTGTAAACTCCCAAGCTGCAACTACCATGCATACACCCTGCCGGCGCTTTTTTAGCAAACCCTATTGAATAGGTGTTTGGGCAAGACCACCCAAAATGCCAGGCAACAGCCGTTAAGTTAAGAGGATGCTTAATTAGGCTCTGAATCCAAAAGACATTCCTCGTTCCACAAGATACCCCTTAAACCCTAAAGCCCTAATGCTGGCCTATTCGGGTTTAGGGTGGGGCTTAGGATTCAGACAGGCTTGGGCCTGATGCATTCCGCGCGAGCCAAGTTCCAGAGCCGTATTGACTTGTCCGCCGACCCTGCAACGCGTCGGGTTTGAGGTTGAGGCTTCGGGTCGACGGCTTAGGTTTTTTAAAAAAAAACAAAGTGGAATGGCCCTTTCACTCCGCAACGAAGGTCAGGTTTTAGGGCTTAGGGGTTTCTAGGGTTTAGGGATTTTTGGGGGCGTCGTATTTTTGTCCCATTGATGCATGCAACGGCGGCCGAAATGCAAACAACTCTAGCTTCGACCTCCAAGTCGTTGACCACAACAGCGAGAGCCCGAAATCCCTGACATAGTTGAAGGAGCGCTCTTTAAACAATGGGGATATCCTCGATGAACATCTCAGGTATGGAGGAATCCCTAATATGATCTGCCGAAGTCTGTGCTGCCACAGTAGCCCTTGACTGCCAGCTTCAAGCCTCTATTGTGGAAGCAAGCTGAATCCAACACAAAACCTGCCGGCAATGCTGTCGTTGCCTGTGCCCCATTCCCAGTGAAACCCCTTGCCCAATCAAGCGAAAGCTGCCAACCCTAAACCCTAAACCCTAAACCCTAAACTCTAAACCATGCCGCCTGAAAACGCTCTCTTCAGTTTCCACTGCACCGAAATCGCGGTGATGCTGCCCTTGTGTCCTAGCAGTTCTCTCAAGTGTCGATGGCTTAGGGCTGAGCTTTTGACTGAGGGGTATTGACGTTAAAGGCGAGGGTTTGAAATAGCGCGGACATTGAGGCTCACAAGCGAACTACACGCGGAGTCTGGAGTTCTGCTGGAAAACTACCTGCGACATGCCGAAATAGTTTTTCCACATGCTGGCTATGCATACTTCAAACCAAGAGATGACTTGCTTCATACACTTGCAAGGTTCTGGGCTTAGTTGGCTTAGTTTCGACCCTTTGGCCCTTCAGGACAAAGGAACGAAGATGCAGGTTCCGACGCACTTGGCCTTAACATCTGAACTGCACTAAGCCAGGATGCTGCTGATCTCCAGACCAACACTGGATAAACTGTATAATGCAAAACTTTAAACCTTGAGCCCTAACAAGAAAAAGTTCCCGACGTACCCTGAACATGGTGATGATCAAATTGCAGGATCGGTTGTAAGTTTGGTGTAACGAAGGTGTAAATTCAAGGCTCAGGCTGCCCACCTACTGCGGGTCGCGCTTAAGCGCCTCGACCCCGTGGCGCAAGCGACCCCACATGCCACCCTGTAGCACCAACGTAGGACCCGGTAGCTAGTACTGGCCCCCCAAAATAAGGAATCTGCCTTAAGCTATAGGGCTCCAGTATATGATTTAAGCTGTATTATTCAGAGCTACTGGACTTTCCCGCCACCACATTGCCTAGCACTTTGGCCCCGAGGCCATTGGTCCGGGCCTTGGAGGGCTCCGGGGGGCCTCTGGGAGTTTTGGGTGCCTCTGAGTGCGGTGGGGCCTGATACGTGATTGAATGAATTTAAGCCCAAGCCTCTTAAAAGGACAAGCTTGGACGGCATGGGGTGGGATAGAAGTGCGGCAGATACCTTCACCAACGCGCTATTCCACGATAAACCCGGCACCCGGAACCGTGTCCAAAAGCCTACAACCTTAACCGGAAAGGTTAAAACCTAACCCAAAACCCAAACCCCAAAACCCTGCAGCATAAAGCCCCAAAAGTTTAAAAACCTAGACCAAGCTCCAACACCCTTGCGCCCTAAAGCCCTACAAACACAGGCGCGATCCTCGTAGGGAAGACTGAGAAGCAGCCATCGGAAGGCCCCAAATCCTCACTTTATTTCTGTAAGGGTTCTAAAAGGCAGGGGTTATAGGGTCTAAAGTTTAGGAGTTGTGCAGGGTCGAAGCTTTTTTCAGGGGCCTCCTTTCCGCCTGCAAGGTATGCTAGCGGTGGAAAGCCCGCATGGGGCAGGCAAACGTTGGGACATGCAAACCCTCAGACTGAGAAGTGGTAGCTGGCAACCGCAGAATGGTCACCACTTCGAACTCAATCTTCTCACCCTTTGTCATTCCTCTCCTCTGCACGACAATCCCTTCAGAACCCTCATCTTCCGCCTGGCTCCCTCCTCACTGCACGCCCGTCATTTCCATCACCCATGTTGCTTCTGCTTCATGCTGACTGCGGCACATGGTCAGCCATTCCACCCCCACCTTTAAGGAACCCCGTACAGGAGCCCTTATGGGACTTTGGGGTTTTGGGTTCAGGGTTTAGGGCTTAGGGGACAGCATCCTTTCAGAATCCCTATCGGAGTTTATGCTCAGGTCTGCCCACCAAGCCTGCAGAGCCACTTCCAGAAGAAGGGACCCATGCTTCCGGAGGGGTCGAAATACGGTTGATGATATAAATCATGCACTTGCCCATAATAAGGAATATACCATAATTCCCATAGTTTCGGGTCCTTAAGGTACTGAAGGATTTATATCATCAACCGTAGGGGTCGGTTTAGAGCTTGGGGGTTTGCAGGGTTGAGTTTATGGGGATCCCACAGGCTCCGATGGGAATGTCTTTGTCAAGCTCGACCCTTCACGCTTCAGCATACTTCGGCCCAGGGGGTGTCTAATATAGAAAACTTAATATTCATTTTCGTGCATATGATTGTAGCTATTCTCGAGAGATAGCAAGGAACAGCAAGAGAAATCCTGCATGCTCCTAAAGCCAAACCCTAAACCTGGCCTTTTGCTGAGCCGCCGCGTCTTGGGGGTTTAGGAGCCTCGCTACTCAAAACTCTTTAGAAGGGCGTCTGCAGGGATCCACCATCGAAGCCCACCAAGGCGCGAGCCTGGATGCACAAAGGCTAGGCCCTAAACCCTAAACTGGGGCGATGCAGGGGAGAACGGGATCATGATGGAAATGTCGGGCTCGGTGACCAGAGGGAGTTTTGGATCATGTAGGGGTTTTAAGAATTAGACTAGGGTTTTGGGGGTGTATCATACTATAATTATACTATGGAACCCTCCCACACTCGTATAGGTAATCATTAAGGCTCGCCCGTATATATTCATTTCTTGGTTGGGATGTACGGCTTGGCCGCAGCCCTAAGCCTGGTAGAAGCTGCTTCTAGACAAGGCCCCAAACCACTAAATCCTGCAACTCCCCAAAGAACAAACCCAAACCCCTAAACCCTAAACCGCTAAGCCCCTTCATCGCAAGCCGCAGACCCACAGATGTCGGACCAGGAAGCGAGGAGGACGAAAATCTGGGGTTTAGTCGGACCTCAAGTGTTTTGGGATAGTTCTCTAAAGTAGGGTCCCCTTCTTTTTAAGTCCCCAATATAGCACGGCACCCTTGTAAACAGGACCCTAAAAGGGACCCCAATTCAGAGAACTACCCTTTGGGTTAGGGCTCTCGGGTTTAGGTTTCAGGGCTTATAGGAGTTGAAGGGTTGAGGGCTTTGGGCTTTGATGTAGCCTCAATTATTACAACAGGGTTTGGGGCTCCTTTATGCTATAACCACCATAACGAACCCCAAGAATGATATAGGTAATTATTTATTTATGGCACCCGAAACCCTAAACCCTAAGTAGTTCTTTATGGCTTCTACATTAGGGCTCTTGGACGTTTAGGGCTCAGGGCCAAGAGACCTTCGACCAGGAGACATCCAGCGCCGTGACCAGGGAGTGCCTTTCGAGTACTTAGGGTTTAGGGTTTAGGG